GAAGAATTGAGGCAGTTCTGAAGGCAAAAGGGGGTCCAAGCCGTTACTAGCGTGGTGTACCTAATAAAGTGGCCGTTGAGTGTATATTCTGTTATGTTTGGTCACATTTTCAGAGGCACTGCAGAGGGACCAAAGAGCCACATGTGGCCCCAGAACCGCAGTTGCAGACCCCTGGGTTAAAACATAAACAATGGAATGTTTTACAGTTGATTTCTAATTAATCATGTTATATTGTAAATATTTTATTTAAAATTAAGATAATAATATGCAACAACAAATGCAAATTAAGAAGCTGACAATAGCCGTGTTTCCATCCAATTTTAATGCGCATTTTGAGAGAACTTTTAAAATGTCGCAAAAAAATGTGCATCGAACGTGTTTCCCTCAACTGGCTTGGAGCGAATCAACCAGGCAATGCAAAGTGTAACTATGTCAGACATTGGCTTTAGTAAACAGGAAGTAAAGTCTCACTCGCAGGGGCTACACATCTCGTAAAGTTGTAATTATCAACTAGTATTGGTGATGTTGCGTGCTGTCTGGAGACGCAGAMAACTTCACGTTACGGGAATATCTGGGAAGACGCCAACAGCGGGAGGAGGGTCCAGCTGCAGCGGCTACAATTATTGGACAGTGGGAACAGCTGATAGAGGTAAATCTTCGCTACGTCAGAACTTATTCGGCAAATATGTTTCTATCTCCCCGTTTACGCATCAACTCTTTTTCGGAAAATCCCAAAAACGCTTCAAGCTAACGTAAAACCTTTTTTTTTTTTTTGCGAAATTGAGGAAGGTTTTTTTAACAAATTTTTATATCTCCATCAACTGTTTCTAATGTGATACTTCAAAATGTGCATAAAAATGGATAGAAACATGGCTAATGGTTTTCAATTTTAAAAAAATGTGAGTAGTGGGCTAATATTCAGCATTAAACAGAAACAAAACAAACATGAATCATTTGCCGTTGTGTTAGATTAGTTTGAAGATGTTTTGTTTTGTGACTCAAACAAAAATCCATGCAGATTTATACAACAGCTGCATCAGCAACATTCAGACCTGCAGTCATCAGATTGTTCTTATCAACTCATCTGAAAAGCAGCASCTCTGGGGCAGTATCACCACCCAAGGAAAAGGTTTACCCTGTTAAATATATTTAGTTGCCCCAATTAGATGACCCCATTTTCACCACTGTGTCTCTTATGGCACCTCTGCTGCTCTGCACTGTTTACACGAGCGCTCCATCTCTGATCAAAGACCAAACTGGCATCAATTAACAGCTAATAAAGCGATCGGCTTTAGCTGACATCTTAAATCCTTGTCCTGGTGTTCATTTTCAGAGGAGATGAAGGATCTTTTTTTTTTGGCACTTTGTTGCAAACTCAGCTTATTTTACTCATAATAAATAAGTGGAATGCAAAACTTTATTAAGAACAAACCTGTTTCACATTTAACAGTTTTTATATCATGTTTGATTAGTTATTCCCAAAATTAAGATATGATCCAATAAGCTGTTTGGGGTATTTACAGTTTAATAATTCTTA